TAGCAAAGAATCCAGCATTAATCCGTTGATACAATGTAAAATTTAATGTTTATGTTATTTATACGGCACATACGTTCTTAAATATTAAACATTTGTATTGATAAGGATCGAAATTGGCCATCGAAACGTCTACATTTTATGTTTTAACTGATAAATTTATCACACACTACTAACTAATCTTGGCTCTCATAGGTATCTTTATACCTGAATAATATAACGAACAAATTAACTCACCGATCGATACACTGTCGTTACCTTTTGCTTGACTCCATCCTTGTCCGGTACATTCATTCGCGTGGATCAATCGGGGAAAATGCGGCTAATTAGAATTGCGCGCACTAATTAATACGACATGACACATGTCCGTCATCTCTGCGCTGCATTCTCGACGCTTGTTCTCCACTCGCGACGTACTTTGAACGAGTAATGACTCGAAACAATACGCGCGTGACACTGATCTAGAACTTTCGTTACGCACGCGAGGTACAGCACTGTGACGTTGGTTATGTTCGAACCGCACGGCGGCAACTTCGCGTTGGTACGCGAGTCGTCGGTCGCCGCATTGCAATACGGCGCGAGATATATCGATAACTACAAACCAAGGCAACAGCATTAGAAAACTCGTTGCTAACTGCTAATTAATTACTAATCTCTAAAGACAGAATAAAAGATATAAAACGTCCTGATATATCGTGTTAGTTTATATTAATAGGTACTTGAAATTTTTAATTTTAAATTTCGAAATAATGAAATTTAATATTAAATAAAATATTTTAATATTATTAAAAAAAAAAATTAAAACATTCAATATCCAAAATATTTAAAAAATAATAAAATATTAAATATTAACACCAAACAAAATTTAATGTTAAGGTATTAAAATAAATATCAACTCCTCTTTCTGTAATATTTACAAATGTTAGAGTAAGGCCCGGTTTTTCATTATCTGAATAACTTATGTGGTTAAACTTAATGTTTTGTCTAACGGGCTTTATTTGTGATGATGTCATGGATGAAGATAATGAAAAACCGGGCCTAAGTAGAATTTTAACATAAGGTATAATTTCAAAGGAAATTAAAATTTGAATTCAATTTTTGAAGTTCAAGTTTAATAAACCTGATCTCATTATATGGAAGGTACTAAAGGATATCATCAAATAGGAAAGAATAAAACTCGTGAAAAGCTCAAAAATTGGATTCGAATCTTATTTCATTTAAAATCGTATTATTTTTAAAAATGTACATTTATATGTGTCATTTATACATTTTTTAAATGTATTTTCGCGGAGTCGAAAGTGATACGAGGTACCTAATCGCAATTACATTGTTGAATCATTATGAATAAAATAACTAATTATTACGACGATATAACGAATGAATCGACACTTTCATCAATATGTCTCTGAATACTCGACCGACTCCATTGTCAAAATAAATGTATTCCTGTCGATCTTGTCGACTGGAAAAACACGATTAATTAAAATTGCTAATTTTCACGTTACACATGATACGACGTTTGCCTGTCACTTTCCATAGTACTTTTAACGTTTGTCGCATATATAACGCTCTTTGACGAATAAATTAAACGAAGTGACGACGAGTGCACGGCACTCTCATTTAGATGCGATGTACTGCGATGTTAGTCGTATTCCACAGCAATTTCGTATCACTCAACGCAACGCGATATACGTATACTGATTGTGAATCAAAATCGTTGCAATATAGCTGATTACTAATTTCTAAAGCTTGAATATAGTACGTTGCGTTTAAAGTGATTAGCGTCTTTGCGGTTCAGAAGAGAATTAGTTATAATTATTTTCTATATATATGTACACAAAGGTGTTTCAAACTGCTTTTACATTCATTAATAGCAGATTTCTGAGATAAAAATTCTAATACCAAAATGCTGAAGCCATAATAACTTTTAAATAAAAAAATTCATAAACACACCCGTAAATAAAATTAGATTAATATGTGAATAGCGTAAATGAGGTCTATATGATTAGAATTAATATTAAGATGTGCGCAATCTATCACAGAAAGGTTATTGCAACACTTTTTTTTAAATGGATTTTAAAATGCGGTTTTCTCACCGAGCGATTGGTTTTTACTTATAGATCTAACCATTTACGTTGGATTGCTCCACGAGTAAAGCTGAGTTAATCCATAAAAAAAAGTTGCAACCTTTCTGTGACCGTCTGTACATTACCGGAAATTTAAATTGCAACATTGAGAAGGAAATTTCATTTTGACATCAAAATTTATAGGTACATTGAAGGAAACAATGTGAATAAATGAATAAGGTTTCAAAAGATTAAACACAATTTGTCGAAAAATATATTAAATTTTGTGATAATATTTTATAATTTAATATCGGGTGCTTGAATACAAGTCCTAATTCTTGTTGGCAACGTATTGTACAAATGTCTAATATTATTTTGTGATATACAGTACTCTAAGCTCGTTCCATTTGTTCACGAGGACAGAGTAAATGAGGTTTAAACATGATATCTGCATCCTTCATGGGTCCTTTAAAGATGAGAACTTTCGAGGAAACTTGAAGGAGATCTTGTTTTCTAAAAATTTTTGAAATTGCTGAATTTGATTCTGGCCTCAGCACACTAAAATTTAAATTTCAAGAAATAATTTGATTAAGTGAATCTTGATTTTAGAAAGTTCTTGATATAGCTAAGATTTAATGTAGCCTGAAAATAATAAATTTTAAATGCTAGAATAATAATCTCCAGTGAAGGACATATTTAATAAAGAACTATCACAGAGTTTATAATCAGAATTTCAAAGCCAGTTTGGAAATCAGTTCGAATTGTTTATGTAGCATTGATGGATTTCAAATAAATCAAAATTGGAAATTTGATATTAGTTAAAAAATTCTCTAAAAGTTTTACGTGTGCAATAATTAGATAATTTTAAACAAAATTTTGTCCGTTTTTTATATTAAATTTACTCTTTCGCATTTTTTTAAATCTGAGATTTGAATATGGAGCATTATCCAATTACATCTCATATGCCATAAGTTTTATAAAAATGACGCATAATATTGTATAACTTTAAGATATCTTTCAGAATTCTTTATGAAATATCTTAAAGATGTTTCTATATAATTCTTAAAGAGATCTTAAAGTTATTGAATCATATACAATGCACCAAAAGCCCATAAAGAGTATCGTGAGATGTGACAGCCGAGTATTATAATGTGTTAATTAGTACGCGAAATTTCAATTAACGTATTTCTCTGATGTCCAATCAACAAGAACGAATGTCCAATTCGACAATGGAGTTAGGCAGGCAATACATCGATCAGCGAGTCAATTTATTTATTATATTGTAGCAACTAATTGCTTATTTATTTTATTCGCAGTCCTTACGATCAAATTATATTACTTTTTATTCTTTGCGGGAAATACATATACGTACGCGCCCACGTACGCACGCACACACTCACATGTGTGAACATCAAATTTGGTAACAAATAAACGCATATTTTTTGTTTTTTTTTTTCTTACTCTTGAATTTTTTATCACAGTTGTTAAAAAATTTCTGATGCTTAATAAAAAATTTAGACATTTTTCAAGACAAATTCAGACAATAGAATTTCTAACAAGTTGTCTGAATATTTCTAATTTTGGTGTCTGAACATTTATACTTCATTTAAAGTAGTTAAAATTTCAAGTTTCTAAAAACTTTATTAAATTGCTTATTATTAGTCTTTAGCAACAGAATAACATTGAAAAATTTAATTAAAGAAATCAAAGAACATCCACGCATCGAGTTATAAAATCATGGTCTGTCCAATTTTAAACATTGCTGCTTTCAAATATTGTATATTGGTGTCTAATTTTTTAGACTTGATTATTACTTCTACAGTGTTAGTACTAATAATCTTATCTGTACAGTAGTTATTTTAAACATAACAAAATTCTACTGTAATTTAGGATATTTTCAAATACTGATATAGTAAAATATCAAGATATAAATGATAAATAAAATAAACATTTTTGTTCAGTAAATGTAATTGCAATTATAATGAATTATAATGAATTTCTTAACATTTGCTTACTATTTATATGAAAATAATAATGATTATATTAAGAAAAGCTAAAAATTTTTAAGCAGTATGTGTGACTGTATTATTAGCACAATTTTGTGATTATATAGTTGCATAGTTAAAACAACTACATATATAATTGTAAAAATGATTATAAATTGTAGTAATTGTAATAATTAAATTATATATAGTAAAACAACCAGTTTTATCTCTCACAGTCAGTGCAACGCAGAATGTATTGCCTGCGTTGCACGTTATATGAAGATCTGTTATACTAGCAAATTATATACGCATAGCACGAAATATAGATGATTAATCATTGATCGTTGAAAGGGCTGTATGCTGATACGCAGCATATTGCTTAATCGTTTGTGCTGGGAACCATAAAAGGCTATAGAAAGTCATGGAGGATTAAATAACAAAAGTAATGTGACTTTTAATATGCTCTACTTCTCAAATATAAAAATTTGTACCATTATTATAAAAGAAATAAGATCTAAGAAAATTAATTCTGAACCTCTATTTCGGAAAGTGAAAAAAATTCGCAAAGTTGTGTGCGTGTAATGAAAGAAACATATTTCTGTACGTTTTAT